ACCAGTCACTGTCCAACTATTTTCAAGCCTTGTAATAATGTGATATTAAAAAAAAAAAAACTAGAAAGAAAGCATACTGGGATTCTGGGCTTAATAGAAAGCTTGTGATTTATAAATGGCAGAATGTTTTCACCTCTCAGTATAACCAATAATGTACAGCAAGACTAGAAGTATTCTAAAATAAAGAAGCTGGCAAATAATTGCAGTTTTGTTCACCTTTCCGTCCACTATCAATAAAATATGAAGGAAAGAGGAAAAGAAAGCAACCCCAATAATTGGTTTTTAGTCTCATGTTGTTTCTGGAGTCTTCATACTTAACCTTACCATCTCAGGTTCTACTGCTGGATTTCATTGACTCCGCGTTTGCCCCAATAGGAGTCTCCATTGAGTTTTGCCTAGTTGCCAGAAATGGAAAGGGCCTTCTAGTAGTAGTAGGACAAGATTTGATCCAACTGCTTGTTTCATTATGATACGTGATCGAAAAATGGCAATGTCATCACTCTCTCTCTCTCTCATCTATCACCTCAGTTACAAAAGTAACTGCATAAAATTGCTAACAGTTGTTTGAATTATTAGCAATATGATTATTTTTTACAAGAAATAATCTCCATCAAAGTACTTTCATAATCCTGAAAATATACATATTTAAATCAACCGCTACCCATTAAAATAAAATAAATAGTGTGATTTAAATCAAAAGCCAAATGCACAGTTATAACTAATATTGTTGCATTTGATTTTAGACAATCAAACATGAAACTCACAAGTATTTGTTACTATTTTTTCCCCTCATAATGAAAAAAAGCTGTTTCATCCGAAACCAAAGAAAAATGTTAAAAAGCTAACATATAGTTCAGTGGTACTGTATAACACTTCATAATGTATCCTATACATTATAAAATCATTCTATTTAAATTATAACTATGACCATGTTGACGCTGACTGTAATATGCAAGTTGTCTTTTGGATCAATACCTACTAAGTTCTACACAAAAAAGCTGATGTACAGACCCAAATAGCGTTATAAAAACTTCTTCAAAAAATTCCCAGAAGCAACTTTTGCAGAACAGAGCTGCCTGTTCTTAGTGGGAAGCCATCTGGGACTATTTGTTTATTTTTTTTCCACTTTCTGTGACATGAAGTTGGTTAGAAACAAGACACCCTACAAAAGAAGGAAGTAGACCTACAGGATAGCCTGTTTTTAACCGCACAGATGTCCACGAGCAGTATAAAACAAAGAAGAGTACTTTCAACTATATTTGTATTTGATATCTTCAGTGTTCCACTTACTATCAATAGCTCCAGCTTAATTCTGAAGGTCTTGAAAAGTGACATATTTCTTCAGAGATACCCAGGTATGACAAACACAGGCAGAGAAATGTTTTAGTAGTCATTTCTAAATCCTTAATCTAATAAGCAGTAGGGGAAAATGAATCAAACTTTTTTTTTCTGTATCTAACCGTAAGAAACACATTTGGCTTATACAGTATGTTCTTTTGAAAGGTTAAAACACTTCATACATACCTTCTAATGTAAAATCCAGCAATACGTACTCATAAGCAGAGTCTGTTTTTGTTTCCACTTGCGGTCTCTTCAGCGTTGAAAATATTTTTCCAGGGCTGCTGTCATCTGAATCTTCTAGCTTTCTCAGCCCACACCCCATCTTAAGACCTGGCGGATGGGTGTAAGGGGGAAAGTAAGGAGAAGCTAAGGAAGAAACTCTGCAGGCACAAAATCGGCTTCTCTCACAAGACGGGTTTAAAAACAAGCAATGTGTTTTAGATCCTCTTTATTGCTGTTAATGAAACATCCAAACAAAAACTGATCTTCTGCTCCCAAGTCAGAAAAAAGAGATTTTTTCTCCCCATATTTACAGCAAGGCACAACCGCTCTTAAAGATACCAGGCACCAAATTCAGGAGGAGTGCTACTCCTCTTTCAAAAAATACAAACTGCTACAAAGTGAGCAGAGATTTTCCATGCCACGTCAATTTACAGCCAGCCCCCTAATAGTGTTCTGTTGCAGAGGGCACCAATGAGTGCTTTGTCTCTCTCTCTCTTGGCTGGCTGATAATGATGAGAAAAAAAGAAAAGAAACAAAATAAAGTTAGAGCAAAACTTTAGCATGATTACTTACAGTCAGAAGATCTGCTTCAGTGCAATGGCCAGTAAAAGAAATAAAACTAGCAAATGAAGTCAAAGAAATAGGATAGAGAGCTTCACCATGGTCTGAGAAGAAAATCATTTCCAGAAAGGAAGTCAACTTTAAAAGGAAATTGCTTCTGGCATCTCAAAGGGGAGGAAAATAAATGAAAAGCAGTTCAACTCTATTTTAAATGTGAGCGTTAGTTGCTTACTTCCTTTTCTTAGGGCAGCTGGAAAACTACACATCATGCTAGTAAAGCGAAAAGATTTAACTAGAGTGGTGAAATCATAGTGTTTGGAATGATTAAATTGCCTTCTTGAGAACAATCAGTGGAGCAATCATCAGGGTCATCCAATTTCATTTTTAAAAATGGGTCTTGGGAAAGTTCCCTCCTAATTACTATCTTCTGGAACACTTTGTAAAAACAATCTTTCAAAATTGATCTGATTTTCCTAAAATAGTAGCTGAAGCATTGGGTTTCTAACTATTATACTTTTACTTGTGTTCATTTTTAAATAGATGCAGTAATCAAGTTAAGCCAGAGTGTGATAAAATATTTTTGTCACCTCAGAAGATGGTAGCTGGACTGTCCTATAAAAGACCACAACCATGAAAAACGGAAAATCTGTTGTTCATCATACAGGTCTTTTTTGAAAAATATTAACATGATTCACACTATTCTGTTTTTCCCCCTTTGGGCATCCCCTAGTGAGATGTTTTAGAACACTGCACTTTCAAATTCAGAAAAACTTTCTCCCCAAGAAAATAAAAATCTTTATTACAAATGAGGCTTTGCATCAATTCCATGTGTTGGAATTCAGCAAATTCTCAGTAACATTATTGATGATTCTTATTAGATAATGTGATAACTGAATTCACTTTTATAATGATTATACAACATTTTTTACTTCTTGAATATGACAGAATTTGAGTTTTACAGAAATATTTTATTTCAGAGCAACCCTGTACTTAATCAAAATAAATAATCATTTATTTCCAAAACTCTTTAGCCTAGAACAGATTTATATGTTATACAATGTTCATATACTTTATTATAATCCATAATTTAGAAACTAACAGAAGAAAAAAGGAAAGNTCCTTCTATTTTCCCCACAACAATAATTCTGTGAGGTATGTTGGGGTGCAAGAGAGTGACTAGCCCACTAGCATTCCCAATCTCCTGGTTTCCAGCCTAGTGCCTTATCCACTAGACCAAACTGGCTGTCATTCAACATGATATTCAACTTTTCATCATAGAATGTCAACATGGAATATTTTAAGGCTGCATTCTGCAAGCTTTACTGAACAGTTGAGGGACTCAATTTACATACAGAACTAAATATATGAGTCAGTAGAATATTTCATCAATGAGGCCCTGGAATTCTTCTGAAGAAATCCTAGTATATTTTTCTTTTCTGAATTTAGAAATCAGGTTTGCGTGTAAAGCAGAAATGGATGTGAAAACATTTCCCATAGCTGCTGCCACCACTGTTTTGTTCAACTACCCATCTTTGACTCAACAGAATCAACAGGGAATGGGAAGAGTTATGGGAGAACTCAATTGCAGGAGTCTATAAATGGGGTGCTAGCATTATTTGTAGTGCTTCTGCTCTGGTGCAATCAAATGATTCTCAGGGTTTGTAGGTTATTTTAAAAGTTAAAACATTTGTGTGAATTTAAAACCAATCAAAACAGTCATAACAATAAAGCCAGTCAACAGGTTAGCTCTGCATAAGAACAAAAGGGAACACACAAATACCCACTCACACCCACACAAAAACCAAAGAGCAAGATGGCATCAGGGAAAGACTCAAAGAAAGCCCCCCCAAAGCAACCCAGTTTTTAGACTTCTAGAAAACTGACAAGGAGGGGGCCAACCTGACACCCTTCAGGAGGTTGCTTTATAGTATTGGTGATGCCACAGAACAGCAGTGCTGCCCGTTCAACCTCTTGGAAATGTGGAATTATGAGAAGTGATTGAAACAGAAGATCCAGAAGGTAGTTACGTTATGATCAAGACAAAGTTTAGTATTAGATATGTATGCTTTTGTTCATGAACAGTATCTGAGTTCTCAGAGTAGGATTATAGGAAAAGTAAAATATGCAGCGAAGATGGTCATATACCTTCTCTAACACTTCCTTAACGGTCTCGTTTGTTAGTTTTTCATATGTTAAAGGGCACTCTTCAATCACAAGCCTGGGTTGTCTTGGCTCTCTCATTGGTGGATTCTTGTGACTAAAACACAGAAAGAAAGCAGCCTTTGTTGAAATTTGACTGATCTTGTGCAAAATACTAGCAAGCAAAAACTTTTTTTCATTCCCAAAATTTATAAACTGAATGTTGGCAACTCTCTTGTTTAGGTAGCTCTTCCGTTATTCTTGATTCTTTCGCCCAAACATGTTGCTGGGCACAGAACTGAATTACCCATTGAGCAACCTTGTTTACATTTCATTTAAAGACTAAATATTTTTCTGCTGAAATATAAAGTAAAAATATGTGAGTTAAAAAGGAAATTTCCTTCAGATATTTTAAGAGGTTTCATTGATGGTATTCTAACTGTAATGCAAATCTGGTGAGGGTAAGTTTGAGAGACTTAATTTGAGCTACAAATGCATTACTTTTTTGTAATGGCTCTGGGGTCAGAGCTGCATGTATGTGCAAGGTATACAGGAATTTAGGCATATTAAGAATGTTGTTGAGGGTTAGAGTTTGGAGATTTGGTGCAAACTGTTTGGTTAAGTTAGGAATAGGACAGAGCTATGGAAGCCAGTTCTTAGACACCATAAAGCAGAACCTCCCCAAGTTAGCCCAATTTAAGCAGAGTATGGGGGAGGTAAACCTGTCTAGTGGCCTGGAAGTTATTGGAGGTCTTTGACTGCCAAGACTCCCAGAACTGCAGCAGAGAAATCTGGAGTGACCTCCCTGGCTGAGTAGCTTAAATCCTGGGCTGAGTACACAAGCTTATTGTTCTGGGAGACTTGAAACTGTCATTCCTGAGTGTGAATTTGGAAGCAACTCAGGAGTTTATGGTCACCAAGCTGATCATCAAGTTATCTCTGGCCTGACTCACATGTGTGTATGTGGGGGGGGGAGGTGTTACATATTATACCTGCTTTTTATTTCAGAGCTGTGGCAACATTGGGATATAACACCCACTCCCTTGTCTTGGACAGATCACTCCCTGTTGACCTTGGAGCAGGAAGGAAGGACTTATTTGATTGGTCTACTCCAGGGATCTGATTGATTCTTTTGGGTTAGGGTTCTGGTTTTACTGAGGCCATTACCACCTGTAACAAGAGGATGATAATAGCCTTGGATTCAGTACGACCTGTGCAGTTTTGTTACACTTGTGGAGTTTGGAGAATCCTCATTAGTTTTCAGAGGAACCCCAGGTAATGTAGCAACATAAAAGATTTCTCGGGTTCTGCTTGGTGAATGTGAAAAGTGAGCCCAACTAAGATAATGAATTGGATAATTTCAATTTATCTTTCAACTTTCCCTTAAAAAAAAGTACTTGACTTGAAGCTCCAGATAAAATAGTTTCAAAAAGGGGTTTCATCATGACAAACAGCTCTTTACTGTTTGAGATTCACCAAAATGACACAAGCAATAAATGACTGACTGCTAAGTCAGAAGATAACTGTTTTCTAACAATTAGTTAAATTTAAAGATTTGAAGCTTAAGAAGCTAACAGTAAGGAAATGTTACTGTCTTGTCCTACATTGTTTATCAAGTGCAGATAGCTGTGGAGAGGACAGGACTGGAAACTTTTATCCTGTGAAATGCTTTAAGTTAACATTTTAAGGTTTAAGTGGAGCTTAGTTTACTCATTATCTCAAGCTTTAACAGCACTTAACATCTCACACTCACATTTAGATAATGTAACCCAGAAATACAGTTTTTAGCTATGTTGAAATAGTTCAGAAGAGTTTCAAGAGTTGATCCTGAATGAGTTCAATAAATAAAAAATTGTAAGTAGCTCTCAAGAAGAATACATTTAGAACTAATACCTCTGGCCTTTTTGTTTTATATCATGATATTAATATTAATATGCCAATAAAGATAATATTATTATGTTAGTTTTAGTGTTACAAATATACATTAAGGTCATGTAGGGTGTTTTCTTGCAATGTTTGTTCTTTTTCTGGATAGTTTCCTCCTATTTAAGAATGCTACAGTTCTCATGCTGAGAAAATAAATGAGGAGAAAGGAATATTGTGTATGTAAAAGTATTAAAGATGGGGTAAAATATAATAAATAAATAAAATAACCCTATAAAGGGCAACTTGCAGTTCTGATCATGCTTTCAAAAGTAATCAGCCTCTCCCCCAATAATCTGCTTGTAGAGCAGGATGAGGAGAGTAAAAAAAAAACAAAGAGGTTGTTAAAAAAATGAATCAAAGACAAAAAAGAGGCTTGTCAGTAAGGAGACAGTAAGGAGACAAGAAACACTGAGATGTTTCTCAAGATGGTTATAGTCACTTTTGGCTCAGGTTTTTGACACAGTTTTAGAACAAGCCAACAATTGGTACCCAAACAGACTGACATCAGAGAATGCAGCCTTGGACAAGTAAAATATTGCTTCTTTTCTCTTACAACAGCTCTCTGAAATTATTTGTTAAGTTC